TTGGGAAGTTGACATATATACCTGCAAAACTAGTGGAAACCCGTAAACAAATAACTTTGCATTCTTATACTTAGGATTCTTCTTCTTCCGCTCCTGGAACTTATCAGGTTGGTCTTGCATCAGATCCTTCATGTGTTTCACCAATATCTTGTAAGATTGAAGTGACCACGGACACTTCCCGAATGCCTCTAAATCGTTGGCCAATCTGACTGATGATGCATTGATCCTCGTAGTGTTGTCCTTGGCAAGCAAAACGCACTCAATATAGAACAACGAGGCCAACTTCACAGCATCATCACCGCGTTTGGATGGCTTCAGTTTTGTAAAGATATTCTTCATATTGGCGTGGGTTATGTTATCTTTGCCACCAAAATATTTCTCGGCAAGGGCCCCTACTGGTTCATCTTCTTGGCCAGATTGCTGTCCAGAATCATCTCCACAATCTTCATCCTCTGGTGCGGCAGGGTCTGCTTCAGCAGCTTCTGGTTCGTCATGTATTGGTAATCCACTTATGTAGCTAAAATCTGCATAAGTGAACTTATACAGTGTACCCCCAATGCCAAACCACAGCTCATTATCCGGTTGGTCCTGCACTAGGTGTAAGGCCAGCGTGTGCAAGATTTGGCCAGAGTTGTCTGTTTGTGGGATGTCAATGAGATGGCCCCAAGGTAATTCGCGAAACCTATCCTTTTGTGTTGGAGATAATCTGTCTTTTACCCACTTCGCTGCAATTCTGAAGGCTGAACAGACGGAATACTGCGCGGGGAAATAATCATGACTTGGAATGCGTAGCTTCAGGGCCCTGGCAGTTGGACAAACAGAAATTAACTTATGCCAGACAGACAAAAACAGACCTTCATAGACCAAAAGATTACCCCAACACAATAAATAACACTCCTAATTTGATTCATACACAATAAAACACATAGACAACTTCTAAACGTTTACAAAGGAACTAGACTATATAATACAGACACAATTTGATTCACAGACAATAAATAACACTTCAAATGAACTTCACAACACCACATAGACACATATATCATGCACAGACACTAATCAACACCAAATCAATTTTGCACCACCACACAGACAACTTATAAACATGAACAAAGTAATTAGACTATTTCATAGACACAATGTCATGCACAGACAACAATTAACACCCAATGAAGATTTCACCACCACACACACACCTTATGAACATCAACAAAGGAAGCATACCAATTCATATATAAATGTTGATTCACACACAATACTTCACATATTCAGTCTTAAAATGTTCGAACCAGAAGTATACCACAAATAAATGGTGATTCACACACAATACTTCACACATTTCACAAATTCACCTTATTCGGATACTTCACATACACACAGCCCCATGTTCAAACTTTGCCAAAAACCCAACAAATCCAAAAAATTTTAAAAAAATTACCCTAAAACTAAACAAAGATTGGGAAATGATACATACCCGTCCGCCATCTCCACTGGTGTGCTTCGCCGTCTTAAAGTTGAAGAAAGGGCTCGTCGCTTCTTAACCCTCAAATCGCCCACACTTCGAGAAGCCCCGCTTCGAATCGACACAGATGAAGAACGGCTTCGAAGAGGAGAGTGGTCGCAGGGATGCCGGTTATCACCTCTAAACCAGACTGCTCGTGCGGATGTGGGAGAGAAGTATGGGGGAGAGGAGTTTCGATTTGGGTGAGAAGGACGGCGGGTGTTTTGATTTTCGAGAAAGGGGGGAGCGAGTCATTGGCGGGTGAGGTGAGGGGAAAAGAGGGGGGTAATTTTTTTGGGGTATTTGTAGTGTGTATAGGGTGGGTACATTGGATGGGTACAAAGAGCAAATTTGTAGGGATATTGTGGCAGTTAAGGTACTAAGGTGCTTGACCATTAGTAGCGGTCCAATAAAAAATATGCGAGGCCCTTCATTCGTGCGGGATATTCTCCTGTAAGCCGTAAGGTAGAGGATCGACATTCGTGTCACTAGCTTGTCAATGTTGATAACTTGATATCCATGATAGTACTGCAGGAGGAATGTGATGCTTCCGTGAGGTGTCACTGGGACAAGTACATTTAGTAATTTTTAGAACATTTTAGTCATATTTTTCGTTGGTTTTTTGACTTTTTCATGTACAAAAAACATCTACTATTAGCATGTAATGATTAAAGAAGAACACAAGTTGACTTCAAAACCACTATTCAAAAAACAGTTCTAGGCGCCCGACTAGTTCCCGCTTAGGCATTACGCGGTAGTCGGGTGCCCCAATTTTATTCTAGGCGCTCCGACTAATTGGTTTGACGCTTAGGTGAATTAGTCGGCCGCCTAGAACACCTAATTGCCCGCCTAGAATGCTTAATCGGCCATCTATGGCGTTAAGATTCACCGAACATTTTGTTTTTCTTCTTCTAAGAGACATATGTGTCTTAACCTTAATAACACATATGAAGAAAGCTACTAATTGTAGATTAAGATAAAAATTATAGATGTTTGTATATACTCTTAATAATATTTTTATTCTTTAATAATATTTATTACATAATAAAGTTATGTGAGTATATATATAGGGGATGTTTGGTAAACGGTGTTTCAGTCGAAAAATGACAGTTTGACCACTTTTAGCGTTTTCAATAAGTGAAAAAGTTGTTTGGTAAATAGCGGTTCAGCACTAGCGTTTTCGGGCGAAACCGCTAAAATGAAAATGCCGCTAATAAGAGAATTTTGGATTGGCGTTTTGAAAAATGGTGTTTTCTACTAATTTTATGGCGAAACAGCTAAATTACCAAACATCTGTTAATAACCCACTAATTTATTCCGCTAGTCAAATCCGCTGACTGAATCCGCTATCAACAACCCGCTAATATAACCCACTATTCGCTAACTGCTGAATGCGCAACACGCCTATAATTTATTAATGTGACAACTCTACCATTCATGCATGTTAATAAGTATGTGTGGACATATATTTTTATATACACACAACCAAATCATTACTAGCAAAAACATTGATAAAACTATAAATTTTATGTCTCCGACTAGTCCCCGTCTAGACGTCCGTCTAGGCCATTGGTCAAAATTTAGATACATATGTGAGTAACATTATTCCTTGATGTGCGTTGAGAAAATGAATTACTTGATTGAGTTGTATTTGGAAAAAACTTAGAAAAACAATATACGGAGTATGTTAAACAATTTTTTTGAATGAACAAGAAAGACGAACACCAAATTTAGACAAACACCAAATGTTGGAACGAAATGATATATAGTACGTAGTATTAGCTAAATTCAATTCAACACTATAAAAAAGAATCTCATAAATAGGTATTAAACATCAAATGCACTTCATTTTTTATGATTTAGGTATCAGTGTTTGTGCTCACATGATATAGGAGTTTATGAACTAGTGAACTATTCTCCAAAGTTTCAAGACACATAAATTTTAATATACCAATATTAAAGAAAAACCTTAGTTTCAAGACATTTTTATGGGATTGAGTCCAAAACCTCTCTCAATGTGGAAACAATATAACTGTCAAAAAAATGTTCGGTGTGCACCTTTTTGTGTATATATTTGATACACGCTCTACTACATGTTTTATATGGATTATATGTAGATATTTGTGTTTGCACAAAATATGTCAAAAATGTACACATCACATTCACTAGCGACTGCCAACCGAACCACACCACCACCCCACCACCCACTCACTAGCCACTACCACCAACTCCAAATATGCCCTAATGCCCCTTCTCAGATCCGTTACTAACTTGCTAAGGGGCTGTTTACTTTTTTTTTCATTAAGTCCTGAATGGATTAAGATGTCTGTCTGCATTAAGTTGTCTGTCTGCATTAAGTGACAGTAAGATAACAAACTGTTTACTAAGTGTGCTGAATGAAAAGTCTGAATCACATCAAATGACCAAATAACCCTTCTGTTTAGAACAAGTGCTGAATGTATACAGTAGTCTGTTTACTTTGGATTAATAACTTCATATGGATTAATAAAATAAAAAAAGTCACATTACATGATAAGAAAAAAGTCAAGCATTTTATGAGAACAACACTTTAAATTTAAACAAGTCTATTAGCGATTTCATCTCGCAAATTCGTCATATATTGTAGACTTTGTGTACCCCATTGTGCTACATGCACTTCTTCTCCAATATCTTCAACTTGCTCATGTGCTTCATTGTTGACTATATTGTCATCATCCCATTCATCAAAAAATTTATCATCAATGTTAGATTTTCTAATAAAATTATGAACGGCAAAGCAAGCAATCACCACATTCCTTTGTATCGCAAATGGATAAGAAGCCATTTGTTCTAAGATTGGAAACCTGCCTTTCAATACACCATAAGTACGTTCAATCACATTCCGGAGTTGTGCATGTGCATGATTGAATTTTTCTTCTTTAGTCAATGCACGACGACGTCGATAATCTGCTAACCAATACCTTGTGTTACGATATGGAGCCAAAAATCCACGCGTGTTCGCATATGCAGCATCACATAGATAATATTTATCTGTAACAAATTGAGTGTTATTTTTTATATGTTAATTAAAATCATTTAGTGAAAGAATAAACAACGATACGCACCTTGTGGAGGTAGTGGAAAGCCGGAATTGGGATTAAATACAACTTGCGTTAGTACTCGAGAATCATGTGCTATTCCTTCCCAACCAGCCCAAACAAAAGTGAATATCATGTTGAAATCACAAATTCCTAAAACGTTTTGATAACACCGACCCCCTCCTCTTCCTCTATAAATAGTTTGCTTTTCAGCAGGCACAATTGCGTGTACAAGAGTTCCATCTAGTGCTCCAATCGCTCCCTTCATTAAATTGTGAAAATATTTAATACATACTTTTTACATATAACTCTGAATCAAAAAATAAAAAAGAGCACATACCGGAAAAATCTCTCTTAAACGTTTTTGCCGGTTTGACAAATTTTGAACCGAATCAGGCGTTGTTGGTACAATCATTTCTTTTGCAAATTCCATCATTCCTTGCAGAACTTCATGAAAGCATATGTGAATGGTTCGTGTGGAGTGTTGGAATCTTCGTTTATTTACTCTAAATCTCTGATTATTTCCGACTGTTGTCAAAAATATTGCCATCTTTTCCTCAACACTTATATGTTTACTATCACTCAACCAATTTCTTTGTCTAAAATGGTTGCATAATAGTACATATCCAACATGAGAGACCCGCATTAATTCCACACATTGTGTATTAGAACCCTCTAATAACTCTTGTGTGTAAGCATGTCCACTTAATGCAGAATTGTTATCTCGTAGTCTTCGCATTCTTAGAGTAGAACTTCTTCGCCTCATATAATAATACACAAGCATTAGGATTAGAACTTGCGCCTCAAGATCCATATTAATCTTGCAAAAAAGTATAAATTAGATATTTATAAATAAATACTACATTCCTTGATGTCACAAAATAAAGTAAAAGTGTCACAAAAACAGATATTAGTCATCCCATAAAATACAAACAAGAGCAATAATTCATCCAAAAAAACAAACAAGAGTCATAATTCATCCAAAAAACAATTAGTAGTCATAATTCATCCAAAACAAACAATAGTCGTAAAATGTAAAGTATATGAAAGAAATGAGCATTGAAATAAATAGAGGTGTCCATCACGAAAAAAGTTTACCTTAATTTCAATCTCCCATTCCTCGGGCGTAAGATTAAATGTGTTGGTGGACGGGTCATACACATTGCCCGTTTTATTTTTGAGTAGTAACCAGGCTCCATATTTTCCTTTCAGATAATCGTAATGATTTTTCATTTGCCTCCGGTCAACAGAAAACTTGTGAGTCACATTCAAAACGTCAGCAACTTTCTTCCAAGAGAGTGCTTTCAGACTACTACCTTCCCGCCCGTTTACAGAAATCTCATGGATACAGGTCTCAAGAAACGTTTTCACCACATTCATATTTTTCCAACTTATCCTACATTTTTTTTGCTTTTCTGATTCACCAATGTGTTCCATACCTAAAGTGAAATACGTATGTCCCAATAATTCATAGACTGGTAATAGATGGCTAACTTTTCATATAAGAAGTCCAAAATAAAATCTGCTTTACTCATTTAAGAAAAATCTGTCAACTTTTTAAGTAAACAATAGGATGGCTTATTTGCACTTGTTCAAAAGCAGGCAGATATTTATAATAAGAAAAGATAAAGTCACATCCTTTCGAATAATATGCACTGCTCTAGCCTATTAGGTTGTTGCTTATAAATTGCAGAAGCTTCTTGCCTTCAAAGAATGCACATATGACACTTTATTAATCTTGAAACCCAGCCATTACCACTTTATCTTAAAAGAGCTTCTACATTAGCACTTATGACATGATTCTTTAATTTTTAACTGAAGTAGCTTGTTAAAAACAAGATCATAACCGAATGCTCAAATGCTAAAATGCATAACCAAATGCTAAAATACAAAGAAATATAAACCACAAAGACTGCCATACAAATTAGGCCTAATATACACATACTAATAGGATTCGTCTGGTCATGATAACTTATATACACACACTCTGTAATTTTACCCGTCATTCATAGGATGCATTCCCATGCCGGCACGTTTTATTTTAAATTGAATATACAACATAGATAGTAACGTTTGAAATCTTAAACCAAATGAAACTCTAAAAGTGTCACTGAACTCTTTAAATCACATGTCTCTAAAAAATTTAACTAAGCAGCCGGTTTTACATTCAATCCCTCCCTGTTTTTATATTCAAAATGCAGTTTAACAATATGACACATGTAAATTAAATAAATTAGATTAGAAAATTCCTAACTGTTATGAAAATTACATAATTACACAGCAACATCCAATGAAGAACACATCAGAAAACCATTCATGAATCTGTAATATGAAACTATCCAACATTAAACATGAAGTATAACAATATAACATATGTAAATAAAATTACTAAAGATTGACTGACCTAAGAAAAAGTTGCGAATTTACTCAAAAAATCTAAACTTTATTATAGGTAGTGAAAAGTATGATAGATAACAAGGATGAGCTCTTAATAGGGGAAATCGAAAGCAAAATAAAGAGCAAATACTAAAGAGAAAAATTAAGGGAAATACCGATAGATATGGAGAAGGTGAGGGTTGAGAGCTGGAGATGGAGGTGAAAAGCACAGGCTGGCGGCGGTGAGAGAGATGGATTGTCCGCAGATGAAAGGCGCAGGTTGGCGGCCGTAGGAGAAATTACGCGAAGAAGATAGCGATGAACCAAATAAGGGTTAAAAAAGAGATAAGGGATACGTACGTATGTCTGAGCGATAAGGAGTGTATTATTTCCGCTGAATCATTAAGTTGAAAACTGTCTGAGCGAATAAGTGCTGTTTTAAATTAAGTCCCAAGTAAACACAAGTATATACCTGACCGAATAAGTCACTATATGCATTCAGACCATTAAGTTGAAAGTAAACAGCCCCTAAGTCACTACATGGTCGGGAGGATTTAAAAGTATCTAATTTCACAATGGACGTAGCATCAGAATCCGAAACAAAATATCGGGTCCGAGGATAATATACCAAATGGCAGGGGTATGTGAAAAATTTAAAATTGTACTGAGTATGTTGAAATTTATCGAGAAAATGGATACACCGGGCCCCATTTGTGCAAAGTCGCGGTTATCCTACTTTCAGCTTCCATCTTCGAACTTTGGGGAAGAAAACTCTCAGCTTCAAACTAAGCACTAACCAAACCCCTAGTAAGCTTTCCGATCAGCGAAGCAGACGAACGTATAGTCCGTATTTAGATTTCTCTGAAGAAGCCGATGTTTAACAACGCCGTGGTTTTTTGTTTCGTGAATTTGCACGCTTGACTTTGAGCATATACGGTCGTCTCGATGCTCAAAGATACGTAAAACAGGAAACTAAGGCACCTGTATGTACGCATTTATCTGTGTGTATATATAGGAGTATAATCGATGGATCCGGAACAGACGTTTATACGGGTACAGGAGCGGTTCTCTCAGATGCTGAATCCAAGGATTCGAGCCACGCTTGAGTATCTCTACCTCTTCATCGCCGTCGTTCTCTTCTGTATTCTCGTTGTTATGCACGCCAACTATGTCCAGCAGGTGCTGTTAGTCCTGCTTTTTGCTTACCGATGACTTTCTAGAATTAATTTTATTCCCTTCTATAGATGAAGAAATAGTGGATCGCGGAAATGTAGTCTTTGGTGATGTTTCTGCTCTTATTATAGTAGAATTCATTCATAGTGGCTTGATACTTACAGATGTTCTGGAGTTTTAAATTGCGGATTTTATTGATTTGCAGCCTGGTTGTTCGAGTGAGCTGTCAAAAGTGAACATATCAAATGCACAAATAATTCAAATCAAGGTTGTTGTTTTAGCTTATGCTTTGCATGGTCTTATGTTGGTTAAATGGATTGATAATTAGAAGTTACCAGATGCTGTCTCTTGCTGCAGATTACCAGTTCTGGTTTGTGGCTCCAGAATGAGACTGAGTATTATGAAGTTAATGCCCTTGGCGACAAAAGTAATACTGAAATTATTAAAGTCATACATGTTGTAGAAGATGGCTCGGTAATCCTTGCAGCAAAGTTATGGTTGAACTGGATTACTACTGGAGCGTGGAGGGGTAAACCTGCTCCAAATTTTTGGAAGGCTGACTATGACCTTCTGGAATCCCAACCTGAAACTTCTACCAGCGGTAATAGCATCAAGTCTGCTGGTGATAATGCTGCTCTTAAAACTAATAAAGATGGTTCACTTAGCCGGCTTCTTATATCTTCAAAGGAATCACTCAAAGCAGCTGTATTTAAGCTGGGCCGGAAGTGGCAAAGGCGGTTGACTGTCCTTTGGAGATTCGCTAAGCGTGTTTTGGGAGGTTTATGGGTAAGTAGTTGATTGTAACTAAGCGAAGTGCATTTATTTCAACTCAATCTTCAGTGCGGAAACTCGTAAAAGTACAGTGCTAACAGTTGAGTTTCAGAGAAAGAGTCTTTCTGAAACTAATATTATTGAAATTTCACAAATTATCAAATTAGATATCTTGTAAAATGAATCAGTATGTATTGTATGTCATTGTTTACTTTTCAATATCTGCTTTTATATGAAGTACTATATCATAAACACATTTTTTCAAATAGGACCATCATTCTTTTTCTTTATGAAAATAGGACTCATTCACTCCTACAATATGGAATATTAGCTACTTTGATTTCTTTTTAGGACTAAACAAGTCATATTTAGCACCAAATAAGGATTCTTCTATTTGTGTTGACGATCCATGTTTCATGCCTAATTGCCTAGTTGCAGTAGATTATTTAAAATGTTTAATGTTTGTTTTTGTTAAACTGGCATCGGGATTGAGGCCTGAAAATGATAATTTGATTAAGGTGCGGTCATGATAAGTTGTCTAAGGCCTGGTAATGGTAAGTAGCTGGAATGGCATAAAACACAACTCTGGAGCTTACTCTTGGTTAATATAATTTGTTTTGACTCATGTGACTAAATTTCATGCTATATGTACGTTGTTGTTAGTTGTTACTCACTCCTTTTGTTGAACAATGCTGAACTCTTGGTATACAGGATATAGCTGGTATACATTTGAGAATTGATATTCCGCAGCTTCTGAAAACACTTCACTTGCACAAGCTTAACTCATATGCTGGTAACATTCTTATTTGCATTGTTATGGACCTTATGGTTATGTTGCATGAACGGATTGGGCAAGTGCATACACATGGAAAAAATGAAATGCTGAATTTGTTATATGGATATTACAGTGCATTGGCTCGAGAGAAGAAGCAACACCTTTGAACCAACTTTCTTATTCACATTGGAGAAGGTGATGCTCTTAATGTGTTTCATCTTTCTCCCAAGACTGTCCATGCATTTTCTCCTCAGGACCTACTAGATTAATGTTGCATGATGTTCTGGCCTTGTTATTGTTTGATGTATTTTGGTATATGTTTTTTTCCAGGGCTATTTCTTACTATCGGAAGAAGCTAGGTTACAACATAACATTTATACAATCAACATAAGCATCTCAGCTCGACACCCATGCTTTGGAAACAGGTTATTATCTTCATGCCTTACGCATGTGTAATAAAATCGTAAAAAGGATGCTTTTATAAATAAATAAATAAATAAATAAATGATTTATAGCTTATAGACTTACAGTGGCACAGAGATTTGCTTCACTCTTCCCCACACTAAGGTATAAAGAATTTTGTATAAATAAATAAATGATGTATAGCTTATAGATAAATTATTTATAGCTTATAGATTTACGCGATGTAAACAGATTTTTGTACGGAATTGATATGACCAACTCTCCATCTTGCACCAAGTCATTTTGTGTTTAAAGGGAATCATATTAGATGTTTGAAAATTCACCTTGAAGTTTAGCTGGGATTCCTCTGAGTTTCACTAAGTTCAACTTCTACAGAATACGAAACACTTTATTTTTATGTTTGACTTCTCAATCGCGAATTTCACCTTGATATGAGCCTATGAGGACCAATGATGTAAAATGTCACCGCATGGGAGTTGATCTTGTCCTCTAGACAATTCCTACTCTCTTGAAAATAATTAAGTTCAAGATGTAAACAATAGAGAATCTGTGATTTTATATAATCATGACACTAGTAACCTTTCCAAGTAATGGACTTTATTCTTTCAGGTGGCAGCAACTTCTTATCAACAGGCTTGTTGGGTATGATACTATTCTGATCAACAGTTTGTTGAGTTCTCCTGGTCAAGGTATTAAGTAGTTCCTTATGAAAAATTATAGGTCAAATATTGTTCATTTTATACTATCATCACAGTTATTGAAACTTGCATACAGGTTATCTTTATAATCACCAAACGAAGGAGTTTTACAATCTTACATATGCTCATGAGAAACCTGAAAGTTCTGCAACATTGGGAGGTCAGTCATTCTTGAATGGTGCATTTCTTTTATATGTACGAGAATGATATGTTCATATAAGTATATAACATCCATTTTTGTTTCATTTTTCTAATAACAATTTGCTTAATTGATTTTACATGCCTACCTAGGAACATGTATTTGATTTGAACCCTGGAATTTAGAAACAAGGCAGAATAAGACACTATTTCCTTAAAATTATTAAAACTGCTTATCCTGGGCAGTTATAAGTGCAGTTTGCAACTTTCATTCTTTGTATGATAAGTCTAATGATCATCAATTTGATGCTGTGGCTTGCTCTCTATTCTTGTAGATTACCTTGTGACGAAGTGTGGCGTACTCATGATGTCACTTTTCGTTTTCTTCACCACCACAATGTCAGTTTCGTTTACATTAAGAGAGACACAAACTCGCATGCTGAAGTTTACAGGTTTGCTACATAACAATTTGCTACGGCCCTACCTCTCTTTATTTCCGGTTTATAAACTACGTTATACTACTGTCAGAGGACTGTTTTGCTTATTTGATTGATGTTCATTATATTGTTAATCTTTTGCATCTAATGAGTCATGTCAAAAGGAAGAGTTTCATTGCCCGCTGAGATGATTCTCAGGGTGCATCCACTTCAACTAATCTTACATCACCTTGTTTGCTGATTTAAGCTCGGTACTTGCCTTAGACTGCGCTAAGTAGGCCACCCAGTGAGAAGCATTTACAGAACCAAGCTACTAGGTTTATATTTGATTGGTTGGAATCCAATTTGAAATATTTTAAAATAAAAACAGTAGAAAGGTTTAATTTGAAAACACTGTCAATTTTTACTTTTTTAGTATCTACCAAATTTACAAAACTAGGGTTTGGAAGTACGACACCCTTCATTGATCCCATTTGTGTGGAAGAGCCTTATAATAGCAATTCCAATGATATTAGAGGCGTGAAACAATAAAATATGCTTCTTTTACTTAGTTCTTCTTCTTCCTCTACTCTCTCCTTACTTACTCATTTCTTTTTCTTCCCCTATTCTCTTCTTGCTTTCTCATCTCATCTTCTTTGTGATGGTCACTATTATTGTGCCTTTTAATCTTTGGCAGCAAGGAGAAACTCTATGGCAGTAATGACACTACAAAGTATACTTAATCATTTAAAGTGCATTGTTAAGGATAAAACAATTTCCATCAAAACAAATATGGACATAATAACTGGTAGTGCTTCAGGAGATAAATTGATTATCTAATTTAAACTGACATTCCTGGAGTCAGACGCTCACTTTATGTGTTATGTCGTATTGGTTGCTGGAGAGTAAATTCTAATTACCAGTATTTTTTGCGCATCTTCTTTGAGCCACCACATATCATGCCTATCCCTTTTCTTATTCATTGTCTCCCTGACAAACATTGTTTCAGTTCAGCTCCAACATCATGCTCGGCATAGGCTTCCAACTTTTCAGTTAATATTTGTCCATGTGATCGAATCCCTTGTTTTTGTGCCTGTAAGCACCCTACCTTGTTCTCTTAATTAATGTGTTTACTTTTTTCTGTACAAGTGCTGAAAATTTCATATCTGAATTGCAGATAATGATTGGCATCCTGTTCTTCCTGTTTGAGTTTTATGATGATCAGCTGCTGGCTTTCATGGTCTTGATTCTTGTTTGGTTATGTGAACTCTTTACACTAATCAGGTTTATCTCATTCTCTCTCAAAGTATATGTCAAAGACATCTTTCAATGTGTTTAAATTGTATAACGTAGATTATGGACTACTGGGCAATTGAAGTGTGGGAGGTAAAGTTAGATAATCAAGTTGTAGATAAGTAACGGAAATCATTGTGGAGAGGTGGTCTAGATTATCCGGTAAAAGGAAATTTGGGACAAATGAACAAATTTTTTTATGTCCAATATTTCATTTTCTATTTTAATTAATGTGCAGAGTTCTTGATTAAAATTTACGGAGTATATCTTTCTAACACCACATTTATTTTTTTAAAATGAGCCAGGAAACATTATTGCAAACAACAATTCTGATGTGCTTGTTATTGTTTTTCTCTAATGTAATTGTTTTGTTAATTTATTGCAGTGTCCGCACACCAATATCAATGAAATACTTCCCTCGCTTTTTTTTGCTCTATTTTCTGGTTTTCCACATCTACTTCTTTTCCTATACTTATGGTAAGGGTGGAAAAGAACTATTCCAATCAACATTTGTACCTATGCTTTTCCATATCTACTTTTATCAACTCATTATATTTAATCAACCTTTTTTCCAGGCTTTTCTTATCTAGCACTCTCTGCAACTGCTTCATTTGTGCAACATCTAATCATATACTTTTGGAACCGTTTTGAGGTGAGGTCCTCTCCATGACTATCTTTTATGCTTCTAAAAATTCTTTATATGTAAAAGGCTTGTGTAAGTATTTCATCTTGTCAAATATGGAAAACAAAAAAGTACTTTATATTGACCTAAACAACGAACGTTATATTTATATTTTAGGCTAAAGGGTCAAATACGCCCTCGAACTAACTTAAAAAGTGCAATTCATCCCTTATATAGGAGGCTCTGTCCGGCCGTCGCCATTTGAGGCGGTTCCCGGTGGAATTCTTTGATGAATTTTTTTGAGCATCTTTTTCATCAAGTCTAGTTTACCCATAGGTCCTATACCAAATTTTAGATAAAAATTCAACCGGGAAGACAGTCAAATGGTTTTCTGAAATGTATTGCTCTGTTTAATTGAGAAGTTATCTTCAAAAATTCATTTGACTGCCTTCATGATTGAATTATTAGTTGAAATTTGGTATGAGTAAACTAGACTTAATGAAGATGTTCAAAAAATTTCATCAAAAAATTCCACCGGGAACCAACCCAAATGGCGACGGCCGGACAGAGCCTCCTATATAGGGGTGAATTGCACTTTTAAGTTAGTTTGAGGGCCTATTTGACCCTTTAACCTATATTTTAGTGACCAAAAACATAGTAAGCTAAAATATAATTATGCTTTCGTAGTTTTAGATTTGCACTCCTGATATTTTTTATATACTGCCCTGGCTTGACTTGTGACAAGGTTCCAGCACTGCAGAGATACATGCAAAATCAACGGTCACATTTTCAACAGCATCCGGACTTCCACATAACATCATCGACAATCCTTGCATCAACTCTGCACATTACTAGGTTAAACACACCAACCAGGAACCCCCCTGGTCCAGTAGTAGATCCTAGAGGACTTGATGCTACTGCCACAACAACAGGAAGAGGAGATAGTGTGGAATCAACAGATAATAATGGAAGCTCTCTTCAAACTCACCAACCTGAGAACGGAGGAGGGGGCATGAACTCATTTAGCTCCTTACTGTTGTGGATTTTAGGGGGCCACCCTTCTGAAAGTCTCAACTCATTTCTTTCCATATTCAGAGATGTAAGAGATCATGGTCAGGTCTTTGCAGAGACCCACGGGCAACATAACCAGGCAACATCACAGACCGCTGAGTAGGAAGATGAATGAGGAACATAGAAGCGCTCGCAAAAATTGCACATAAAGAAGTGTTTTTACAGAGGAATGGTTTTTCAAATTTTGGGCATCTTAAATGCTGGAAAAACATGGTTCAATTGTAACATTCATGTACATATTATATTATAATGATTTTCATGTACTGTTTTTTGGAGCTTTTTTTATTATGGGAAAACAAATCTGCAGTAAAACAAAATATGGATCATTAAAACGCTTTCAATCAGAACTGATAGATCTCTATCCAGAGGACCAGAGAGCTATGATAATATCACAAATAATTGACCCAATCCCAGTTTGGCACCTATATGGTGTAATAATAGGCCTCATCTATCTACAGATTTGAAAAAATAGTGACCATCTATTATCTTGAATTCTTGATGGAAAATTGGAAATACTTGAATAAGGTGAATTCTTTAAAAGTTATTAAAAAATTTGGCCAACAAAGAAATTAGCGTTTGAAAATATGCCCAAGGCTGCACGAAGTTTTTTTTGAAGACCTTATTATGCTTCATCGCACCTGAATGGCTGGAATAGGTTCAGCCAAAATGATATCCAGTACGCAAATTTGAGTTTCAAACGCAGTTAGCTAATCCTGACATGTAACATTCACTCTATTACTTGCTAATTGCTATACACAAATGACAAAACTTGATCTCTCTCTTTCTCTATGACTCCACCCGCTCCTCAGGTGGTTAGAACTTAGAATTCAGTGTCCAAGCACGCAACCATGACTTTGGAGACCATGGACCTTGCAAATGGGATGTAACTCAAGCTATACCTGCTCAAAATATATACATAGGCAAATGATTAGATCCCCCGCTACCACAATATAAAATGGTTTTTGGGGCAAATTTATTAAAGCAATCTAGAGGCAAGTATCATTTAACACATTAACACATAACACGGTTCTCGAATTCACAATTACTTTAGATGGCTGTTGGAGTAGGAAATTTGAAAACAATCTGTGTCATTTTTTAGATGCTATCTAGATATGCTTTTGTATTTGAAAACATTGGGGTTTCCAAATGGCACTTTAGGTTTATAAGAGGTCATTTTGAGCCAAAAATAATAAAACAGTGATATAATACCATGCCCCCCCTCCCTTCAAAACACTCTAAATGGGATTAAAATTAACTCTAGGTCTCACACCTTTGTTGGTGACTGGTGAGACAGAACAGAGTTATTTTATTTTATTTTATTTTATTTTGAGTGATCACAAACATGAAGCTTGCTTATGCAGTTATACTTTTGCACACTTCCACACAATCCAAGTCACCCAACAACTGCCCACTACCCTATTTTTTCTTCCCAACCCAAAGTCATAAATGAGGGCAAGATAATCAGTCAAGGGGGGGGGGAGAGAGAGAGAGAGAGGAGAGAGAGAGAGAGAGAGAGAGAGAGAGAGAGAGAGAGAGAGAGAGAGAGATGAGAGCATATTGATATACCAGATAAGAGCTCCAAACTCCAATATAATTGCCAAAAGTGTCAGTAGCTTGTTCCTCACCTAATGTTTAATGATAATGATATGCAGTGCACGAATAGCATCATGAAACAGCTAATAAGAGAATTAGAATGGTAATGGAGAAAGGAGCCATGAAACTCACATATAGAGCACAGAATAACGCAATGATGATGCTTGCAAGATATATGGAGGTTGCATAGATACGAATAGGGTCCAGCATCATTGTTACCTGCCTTTTAGGTCCTATGAGGAACGCTGTGCTGCCATAGAAAGAACCAAAATTTTACAGCTGAATAATATCGTTCTTTTCACACAGTAGTATCCACATAACCTAGAAATAAATTTTGAATGCCTTATGTTTTAAAAACTTCTTTAAAGATGTTTGGAGCTAGATAGATTTGAGTGTCAAACCGGTCGGTCAGTCACACTAAACCTTCTATTCTGAAGGATAGTATACTAATAAAGCCAAAGAGCAGTCTCTATATGGGTACATTTAGAACCCAGAAAAGACTAGTAGATATAAATATGGAGGAAAATGTACAGGAAATAAAATTTTAGAGAAACTGAAGGGTAGACTCAAACTCAATAGATTTAATTTAGATAATTATTTAAACTCTTCTTATTTGTTTATTTGTTTGTTTGTTTGTTTATTTACTAATTTATTTAACTCTATTATATATATATATATATATATATATATATATATATACTTAAGAACTCTAAATATATGAATTCGATTAAATAAATTAATCAGGTTTTATTTTCCTTTGCATCCTTAGAGTTAAAGACCAACATAAAAAAATAGTCCCCTTAGCATTTTCTTTCCTTGCCTCACTGTTTCCGTGATCCATATATATCCCATATGTCTTGTAGGATGTCAACCATTTTTGTTTGTTCTGGGAAAATCACTAACCAACCAGCAAATGATGGTGAGCATTTTCATGTTACTGAAAATTTGAATCAGTTACATATCTCAACTTTATATTACAGAGAGAGCTTAGATAACCATGTGTAAACTACTCCGTATGACCGTATATCAAAGCCATGCAGGAAGAAAGTATAATATTCAGACCTTCCAAGTGCAAGCAGATTGCCAAAGGAGAAAGTTATTCCAAATTTTACTGGATGGAGAAACACCAACATGGACTGCCACAAAAAAAAAGTAGAAATCATGATGGATTGCTCATAAAAAATATTGTATTCAATAGTTTGAGAAATGAGGAATGAACTTATCAAAGAAAGTTTAAGAGCTTAGTTGAACCAGACAGCCTGTGAGCTCCAGGAGGCGGGCTCCTGAGCCCAATGAGCCATCTAAATTCTTTAATTCTATAATGTATTTCTCTTTTCTCATTCCCTTGCTACACATACATAGATGCATTTCTGCACAGCAGTGTATTCACACTTCTAACATAAAAATAGTTGTACCTCATTTTGAACTCTACATCATCCAATTAAAAACTGTAACAAGTGGACACTAACCATGCTCATCTCCACAATCTATGAATTATATGGTTTCAAAAAGAATTAACTTTTGCCTTCTCTTAAACTACACAACACATTATACAATTTATAGTTTTATACTTTTATACATAATATAAGGTATGTAGATTTAACCCAGCTACTTGCACATAAAACTAAGCAAGGCTAGTATCAACAATGAGGAAGAAACTAAGAATATCTAAAGACAGAAACTCACCAAAAGTGTACAAGCAACACCAGAAGCCAAGCAGATGGCAAAACCATAAAGCCTCTGCAAAAAGAAAATGAATTAAAATGAAATGGATTATGAAATCCAAGTATAATACATTTTCTATAGATCAATACAATTGTTTAATGCCTTATAATATTAGCTGTTAAACAGCCTCAGAAACCTGTGTTAGTAAAAAACAGTACATTTTTACTAGCATTTAGGATTCAAATCTTATTCCTTGTATATCTAGTATTTTCTTATGCATTTTAGTCAATCAGTTATTCATTCCCAATGACTTATTTAGATCATATTTAATATGGCTTCTAATGTTATTAATACTCAGAACTATAGTTCTGATGTTACCAACTAGCATGTGTTCAATGTACCAACTATGATTTGAAAATGTACCACACATATTCTCTCTTGTAGATACAAGAGCAACAAGTCAACAACAATACTATAGCTGTAAATTTGGTGCTTCAACATGGTACAGTTTCAACATAGAGTTCTTCTAGGCCTGATTTGTTAACTAATACAACATACTAGTATAGCGGTTATCCAAAACTAACAGCTGGATAATCTACATTTCACTCTGAACTAGCATCTCTTTCAAGCAATTAGTTGGGGCCTATTCGACATCACAATCACAAAAGTAGTACCGAAATCAGAAGGTAATGAGAGTACTAATAAAAACGGAATAGCATTAAGAGCTACCGACCTGCTTGGTGGAGAGAGTACAGTTGCGATTGAAGTCCTCAATGAAAGCAAACGAGGACTCTTGCTGCTGATTAGCGGTTCCTTCGACGTCTTCCACATCCATTCCTACGAGCATCTTCATCTTCTCCAGCGTCTGGTTCATCTTCTCCATTTTCTTCTGCCACAAAGTACTCCTATCCGATCGATCCGCTCCGCAGTACTTCCGAAGCACTTACTGTGCAATACAATCGGCGTCTCTGCTGCAGTTAAAGAGTCAATGTAGAAGATGAGAATGGGGGAGGACCAAGTGACCAACTAACTCAATTCAGTACATCACTGCTTCCTGGATCTGTTATCGCGGTTTAGCACAGTTCGCGGTTTTTTGGTGTTATGAAGCTGTCCTAATTCCTAAAGCAGGACATAAAATGACCTTCAACAAGAACAATGTGAGTTCACCATTAAATAATTAACTCTAATTTATCGCAGATTATATGGTACACCCGGGTGTATAGGTACACCCGGTATTTTTGTAATATATGCCAACTTCAAGCGTTTCTCATCATTGTCCTGCTGAGTCATCTCTTTTATGCCGTCCGTCTTTTTTCTCTTCCGTCTTTTTTCTCTTCCGTCATCTCTTTTCTCTCTTTTCTTCAGCCGCAATCCTCCTTACGTTTTTAGTTTTGATTTGATAGTTACGTTTTTAGTTTGGATCCTTTTAGTTTTGATAGTTACGTTTTTACTTTTGTCTTTTTTATTTTCATGTTTTTCTTTATTTTTACCGTTAGCTACTTGGTCTTTGTTTTGTTTAATTTTGTCTTTTTTCTTTACTTTTTTCCTTTCTTTATGTGTTGTTTACTTCTTTCTTTTTCTTTATATATTAATACGGAGTATTAAGCATATTAGAAATGAGCTTTTCTCTAAACTCAAATGAGTAAAACGCCTAAAAATGAATATACACAAATGATATTTTGAATTTTTGGATACTCATTTTGTAAATTATATATGTTCATTTAGTAACTCCGTTATGCTCATTTTTAAAATGTTTTTAGCAATGCATATTTCAAAAGTCTCTATTACATTAAATTTATATAGGAGTTGATTATAGACACGAGATCACAAATCATGATACTCAATCGCAAATTGTAATACTCAATAACGGAGGTTTGATGGTCACTGAAAATGTATTGATGCTCAACGAACAAAACATTCAATTTTCATATCAATGCTCATCTTGTAAGTTACATATGCTCATTTGTATGCGTTCGATGCTCATTAAATATATTTAAATGAGCATATTAGAAAAATTTAAATGAACTTTTGAATTTTTCAATGCTCATTTTATAATATATGTATACTCATTCAGGAGTAGTGTTATGTCCATTTTAAAATGTCATATCAATACTTATGAAACTAATGCTCAACGGAATAGGTATCATGCTCATTAAAAGTACATTAATGCTCATTTAACAGAAACCATTATTTTCATCCCAATAGAGGAGGTTTGATGCTCAATGAAAATATCGTGATGTTCAACTAACAAATTCCTTAATACTCGTGATGTAAGTTACATATGCTCATCTGATACTGATCTTATGCTCACTTTCTAAATGTATTATTTTATGATACACTCGTAATACTCAACATAATAGGTATGATGCTCATTAAAAGTTCATTAATGCTCATTCACAAGAAACTGTGATTTTCATCTCAATAGCAGATGTTTGATGTTTAATCAAAATGTCGTGATGTTCAACTAACAAACCTTACGATAAAAATAACAAAAAGAAAGTGAATTAGAAGTTATGAAGCAGATATTACGATTCTGAACATTATACTCCTAATACTGAACAGAATAGGTATGATGCTCATTCAAAGTTCATTATTACTCATTCTCTAGAAGTCGTGATTTTCATCTCAATAGTGGAGGTTGAATGCTCAATTAAAATGTCATGATGTTCAACTAACAAACGTTACGATTTTCATATCAATGTGCACTTTGTAAGTTATGTATGTTCAATTCACTTGGTACTCATGTTATGCTCATTTTTACAATGTCATATCAATGTAATTTTCCTTTTATAAAAACTTATTAAATTATATTTCTAATCAACTCCTATGAATTTCAATATGTGAACCTAATGTAAAATAGTACTTTATAGAAAATATGCTGATATGACATTTAGAAAATAAGCATAAGATCAGTACCGGATGAGCATGCACATCTTACAAAATGTTCCTAGGATATGAAAATCGCAAAGTTTGTTAGTTTGAATAACAACATATTCATTGAGCATCAAATATCATCTATTGAGATGAAAATCAGTGTTTCTGTTAAATGAGCATTATTAAACTTTTAATGTGCATCAGACCTATTATGATCATTAAAACAATTTTGATGAGCATCAGGCTTATTAGAAACCTAACACTATATAAAAAAAATATAATTATATTTATATAAATTAATAGTATGATTAATAGATCAAATAAATACTTCAAAAATATAAATTACTCTTTTAATATAGTAATAATGAGAAAAGGCAAAAGAATAGTTAATATTATAATTATTATTATTAATACGCAGTATGAAACTATATAGGATAAGTAAGATAAAAGAACAGATTATTCCAACAAGATGACTTGGTGAGATGGTTGGAAGGTTGCATATGCTACTATGGGTCTGGGGATCGAATCCTGCTGGGGTTCTTAATTTTTTTGTGAAGGAATCCTGGAACGAGATGTCAGCCCACCTGTCAAATTCATTAATTGGGCTGGATGTACGTACACCCGGGTGTACGATATAGGGACTCCTAATTTATAATTAATCTAAAATGATTCATATTTTAATTATAAATCGTTCTATCCAAATTATCATGCGAAATAATCTCCTCACTTCCTCAGTCAACCATGCTCTCAAAATAATGGACCATGTCATCAGAATCATCTTTACTAATTTTTTGGATTTGAATGATGAATCCCTAAAAAAAGTCAAAATAAAGCTGTGCCCAATATGGATTATAAATACGTACAGATGATTTCTTTTTGCGGGATGAAAAGAATGTTAAGTAGGGCTCAAATGAAAGTAAGCTAGAAAAGATAATTGTAAAAAAGTTTCTTCCAAATAAAATAATTGTGAAAAAGTTAAAATGAAATTCTAAGGCAAATTTGTAATCCATGCATCTATCCAAGCAAAATCTAATTTAGAATAGATGTCTTATTAGTGGTGAAACCATAATTATCTTTTAGCATTACTTATAACTAATACGGAGTAACATATCAAACTACATAAAGAGATCATTACAAGACGTCAATTGTCCTTTTTAAAAGTTTTTTCGTATTTTGAACAGATACTATATAGGTTAGAAAGAATTGTCCCCAAAAAAAGTTTTTCATATCGTTAGAGAAATCTTTTCTCAATGTGTGTAAAGTTTAAGAAAAAAAAACAAATTTCATCACATTGAGAAATCTTTTCTCAATGAATTTTAATCGTGGTCATGGTGTATTGTGGCTTGGAAGAGTATAGATTGAGACACTATTTACGGGGATAGCAAATTGTAGTGTTAGTTTTGTTTGCAATGAGTATGAAATATCATAGTGAACACATCTTATCTATTGCTAGTATATCATCAAAAGAGTTTTTAGTTGAACACATCTTATACATTTAATGCATTTCGACTACAAAGGCTATTTTACTGAAGGTGGAAATCGAAATTTGTTGGTTGGAAAATGTATTTTATTGAGAAAATTGTCAAATAAGTCCTTATACTTTTACAAAAAAGTCAATTAAATCCTTATACTTTTTTGTGAATCAATCAAGTCCCGGAAGTGTTAAAAATGGGTCAAATTAGTCATTTAGCCGGTTTCACACATATAATGTCGGTTATAGTTGTCCTGAATGTCCACGTGTCAACATTTTTATTTTTTTCCTTTTCTCTCTCTTTCTTCTTTCCCTCCTATCTTCTTTGGTTCTTCTTCAGATCTACTTCCCTGCTATTTATTCTCTATCTTTCCATACCAATCAATTGTAGCCCACAAGTTCCCCGGTTTTCATTGTGCACCACCCTTCACCCATTACATCTCCATCTGCCGTCCCGCCGCCACAGCTTTCCCAGGCTTCGCCGCCCACCGCTCACAGCTTCTCTAGGCTCCGCCGCCCGTCGTCCACAACTACTTCGGATCCCATCTGCGTTGCTGACCGCCCTTCGTCAACAACTACTCCGATCCAATATGCGTCGCCAACCAGCCGTCGTCCACAAATTCCCCAACCATTTCTGCCCGTCGCCCGCAACTGCCCCAACCGGCCAACTGCCGCCGTGCACCGCCTCTCTCCCAGAACTTCCCCAGCTCCCGTCGTCCGCCGCCTGACGCCCTCAGTTTTGTCAACCTCCTTCTCCCACAGCCTTTCAGAAGAATGAGAGTTGGAAGACATAAACTGCAAAAGAAATCATTTGGGGCGAGTAGGGAGAAGAAAAGAACGGGAGATTGGGTGAAGGAGAAAGAGAGAAAGAAAAAGGGAGAAAGAAACCGGGGACTCGGGCCGGTTCGGGCCCGGCCGGGCCTCGGGCCAGAAAACTAGGGCCCGGGCCCGAACCGCCGGTGGGCGGTTCCGGTTCCGGGCCAAACCGGGCCGGGCCGGGCCGGGCCAAACCGGTCTTTTTTTTTTTTGGTTCTCCTTTTTAACCCCCTACCCCTCCCCCTCAACCCCAAACCACCCCAAACCACCTCAAATGGCCCAAAATACCCAATCCAACCCAAAACTTAAAAAAATTTCAAAAAAAAAAAAAAAAATTAAAATCCGGCCCGGACCGGGCCCGAACCGGCCGGGCCGGTTCACCAAATGGAGGGCCCGGGCCCGGAACCGGTATCCACCGGGCCGGTTCGACCCGAACCGCCGGTGGACCGGGCCACGGGGCCGGGCCGGTTCACACAGTAGCCGGGCCGGGCCGGGCCGGTTCCGGTTCGGGCCGCCCGGCCCGAGTCCAGCACTACATACGACTAAAACATGGGAAGCGGAAGTAAACAAGACTTCGAACTTTTTTACTCGTGGAGAGAATTTTTTAAATTAAAGAGACAAAAATAGCCTCATCGTTTGAAGATATGTTGCTGCTACATATGCGCCCTTCCATTCCAAAGCAGTTTGTGCCGTTGCAAGTAGAGGCTTCCACACAGGAAGTGTTTTCTCAGACATAATTGTTTGATTCTTCTAACAATTTTATTCGTTTTGATTTCTAAAGTTC